CCCCAAAACCCCAAAACCCCCAAAACCCCAAAACCCCATCAATGAAATTTAGATAAGTAATTTTAGGACCTTTAAAAAAGATTTAAATAAATAAAAAATTAAATTTCAAAGCACTAACCTGAATATCATCTCATGAAAACAGAAGAATCAAAAGAAAAGTAAAGCCTTTGTAATTTTGAAGGTCATAATGGAACAAATAAGATAGCAATTAAGATTGATAGCAATAGCTTTGATATTTGTGCTTTTATAATTGCTCTTAAATTGGCAAAAGAGCATTAAGTTGAAATCTCAGGAATGTTTATAAGAGACTGTGAATAGCAATTGTTTTGCAAACTCTTATAAACCATAAAGACAATCATTTCAGATTTCATATGTGATAAGAATATGAAGATTTATTTAATGTCAAGTGATGAAGATCATCAATCTAGTGATTCTTTTCTATGCTATAAAGTACTCGAGAGCAAAGCTGCCTTCAAAAATTTTGATAAGAGTGATAATTTGTTGGCATCTAGAATAACTGATTAAAATTATTTGGCATAGTCTATTATCAAATGAGTTTAACAAGATACATATAATTATGCATTAATTGAATTTTTAAATGATAGAGTTACCTGCAAGTATCAGAAAGATAATGATAGCATATAGATTGATTATGCATAATTTGAAGAGATTGAGAGCATTTTTTAATAATAATAGGTTGAAGATTTATCTAAAATTAGTAAATAAATATGTAGGCAGTTTCCATTAAATGCTTTTCCTATAGATAAAAATAAACAACTACATAATATTTTTGCTGTTGCTTACATGATATAACTATTTAAGATTTAACATTCTAATTCAAAAGATGAAGTAAAACCTGATAAGCCATTGGAGGAAAAATACATATTTTTGGCTTCTCAAAAAAAGCAAAGTGTTGAAATTGCAAAATAAAATGAGGAAGTCTATTAGTTAATTTAAAAACAATTGAATATTATCCAGGAATAATTAGAGTAAAAAACTGAAAGCATTATTAGCTTACAAACTTATCTCAAAGCATTAGGCATTCCAGAGTTTATAAAATTGAAGGCTAACTTTGAAACTTTGTGCTTGATTGTAAATAAGCATGTTCTACATATTGGTTATTAGAATCTTCATTTACATTTGAAGGCCAGAATAGCTTTATCATTTGAGTTTAAAGATTTGGTTTAAAGAATGATTGTTAACAGGGAAGGTGGAATATGCTATGAACACTGCTAAATCACTTATTACGTTCTTAAAGCGTTAGGCTTCGATACATAGCAAATACTCTGTTAAACTTTAAAACGATCTGAAGCAAAATTTGACCCTTCTGTATATTTTGTGCATGCAGCCTAAATTGTCAATATTAAAGGTAAGCTATATCTAGTTGAAACTGGCTTTGGAGGATATAGTCCAAGGTATCCTCTGCCTTTTGATCCTAAGAAAAATTATTAGTATTATGAATTTTCTGAAATAGATAAGTATCAAATTTTCAATAATCAGGATCATATTGAAGTTTAATACTTTGAGAATGATTAATGGAAAAGAGCTTATGGCTTTGAATGGCCTCCAATATATAAAACTCCACAAGATATTTAAGAGTGATATGAAGATCATGTCATCCATAGAAAAAAATTTTCATCTGTAAGAGACAATCTTTTACTTTTTTGCAAAGTTTTAGAAAAATCAAGAAGATATATTCTTTACTTTAGAAGGGAAGAGAATTTTAAAGCAGTATTAAGAGATTGCTCTGATAATGGAGTCACCTAGAAACATATAGAGAATTATGAAGAACTTTAAAATATTGTAAAAGACCAATTTGGCTTAGATTTACCTTAAAGAGAATTTATTCGAGATAATACAGATGATTGTTTTATCATAAACTGATAATTAAAGAAATTTGATCTAATTTTTATTTATTTAAAATTCCATATTTCATCATTAAGGGGTTTTGGGGTTTTGGGG